GACAAAAAAATACATTTAAATTGAGACGTCATATGAAAACATTAATTTTCCACTACACAAATCTTCCTTTCGCTTCGGTTATTAAACTAGACATAATAATGAACGTAAACTAAAGGAAATCATTGGCATAACGTAATTTGCCATGCATAACTGGATGCAGTAAGCTATGCAAATAGCCCTAGGCGCCAGTTGGCTTTCACTTACTCTATCAGATGGCTGTCAAGTACCATGAACTGCCATGAGTGGGCGGGTGATATCGGTTTTAGGCTATACTGAATCATAACTATGTATTGATTTGAGTAACCACATATTACTGCGATCACGCGCTGCTGTGGTATTTTTGTAATAAGGTCAATAAAAACAAAAATATCTTTCAAGTTAGAACAATTTACTTACAGTTATTTCCTTTTTTACATAAAATGTAATAAAGGATGATGTTTGGTGACTGAAATAGGTGAGACTAAGAACGATACAATGTAAATTCATTGTTTTAGAGAACAAAGGGAATAAAAGAGAAAGAAAAATAGTCTGATTTACACTGACTTAGTTTTTATAACATAAATATGGAACAGGGATGCTGTGTCGGAATTGAACAATAATAATAAGAACTCAGGAGCATTCACACAGCGCCATGGAGTCCCAAGCTAAGTAGAGCTTGTATTATGGGTATTAAACAAATATATACGTCATATATATAGAAAACACCCTCATACTCATGATACAAATGTTTGTACTGTGCGATGTATTGAACCCACGACCATTGGAAGTAAGACGGTGTCTAAACCGCTATACCACAAAGGCCGTCAAATAACATTATATATTTGCCATTCTGACAAATATTTAATACTGTGCAGGAATCGAACTCCTGACCATCTTATACTAACACATGTTAAATAGCTAATAATAGCTACACCACTGAGGTTGTCTGAACGGCCTTTAACTGCCCTGTTAATATATTTCCAGCGATTCTAACGTCTAAATAGTTAGTGAGAAGCCAATTACACTAAATTTGGACTTTGGACGTATCATGGGCATAAATTGTTGAGCAACATCAATTTAAAAAAGCTTGTCTGACGGTTTATGTTGTTCTAAACGGATATATTACGTAATACGAAAGAATTGCCAACGGTTTGTCGTTCTGATTCGAATTATGGTATACAACAGCGATTAGGTATATCGTATGAGATAGCTATTTATAATTGTTTTAATATTATATATTAATTTAATATTATATATATAGCTGTGAACTTCGTCCGCGTGGAATAGGAACCTTGACCAAACAAAGAAAAAAAAAGAGTCTGACCGAAAAAGGCAAAGATCATAGTTGTATTGTTCTAGTTTCAAAAATAACGAATTTCCAAACAAACTTTCGTCCCATATTTTATTGTACCCCCTTAAGGGTTTTTTTTTACAACCTTTGGATGATAAATAAATATGATATTTATATATAATCAAGGGCCTAAAAAATAAGTTTCAATATTCTTCTTTCAACCCTTTTCTTAATATCTAGACTATCACCAAATTACATTTAAATCTATTCACTAGTTTTGGCGCAAAAGCGCGACAGACAGACAGACAGATTTTATTTCGAATGAAATGCAAACCTTAGTATAAAACTATCACAATAATACTTTATTCTGATATCATTAACAGTAGTCAATCGTTTCATATCCTGCTCAAAGAATCAACAATTCATAATTGTTTAATACATAATACAATTCTTATTCCAAACAGACGTTTGTTATTTTATCAAATTGTTGGTATGAGTATAACCGTTTACTGTTGTAATAAAGAAGGAAATTCATAAAATGACTATCTCATGATAAATTTGATGTTGTTAAGTAGTATAGGGATAATACGCACTCCTTAATCCTTATTAGACATTTATTTATATTCGGTAATGTAAGTATGAAACATTTAAACTCGGTACCTACATATTGCATCAAAAGACTAATTAAACAAAATAAATTAATAATAACCCTGGATTACCTACACAGAGTCATCTAACCCCAAGCTATTTACAGCGTATGTATACGGTACTATCCAACTGATATAAATGGTATAAAAATATTTTATATAGATTAGTTTCAAATTTGGCATTGACAGTTTATTGATATTGTTTTAAGTGATTTTTTATAGGAACAAACAAATCGGCTAGATCATACAGTACAGGAGAGGAAAAAAGTAAAACAGACTAATTACCCTCTTGCTAACATTGTCAGGTTATTGAATATACTCTATACATATAATTTATTCGGTTCACTTCTGATTATATTCATATTCCAAAATAATGATACATTACTAGTTAGCATTGAAATTGCAGATGATAACGTATCGTGCCATGACGCTGTAGGAATTCGCAATAAAAATATATAAAAAGATGCACACTTTTATTAGGGTAACATAACTTGCATAGTATAAATAATGTCACGGCAACCAGTCAATGTATTTTTAGACCTACTGACGCTCATTTTGAACTCAACTGGAAACAAGTTAAAAATAAACATACTTAAAACTATTTAGGTATGACCAGTTTGTCTATGAACTACGCGGAAGTTATTAGAGATAACTTGTATAACTACCACCGAAGATAAGAATCTAAACATCTAAATGTATGTTTATATAGTTTACTATGTATAAATAATCTAAATGGTTTGAAGAAGAATGGATTGCTGCAGAATATCAAGTGTAATGCGATTGAAGTTGAAGACAATGATTTAAAACACAGTACAACGAATAATTGATGAATTATTTATTTAAATATATGCAGATATAAAACAGCTCATGCACTTAACAGTGCTGAAAATAACAAATACTGTAGTAAGTATTAAAAGTAAGACGACTGTGCAACATATGGACTAACCGTACCGGTTTTGGAAGACAAAAATAAGATTCATCTCATAAATTGTAAATAAATAATTAATACAACGTCAATGTACACAAAACAAAACTAAAACTAAATCTAACACTACGTTATTTGCTATAAAAAAAGGTTATTGAAAACAGATAAATTCTGTTTAAATCCATATTTGCATTGGATATTTCGAAAATTTATTAATAACAAATTAGCATAATCATGAAAGAATAAATTGCTCTGCATTAACTAAAGACAAAACAATTCTCGCAGATGATATCTTAACGCCTACAACGTTTTCCTTGTACAGTGACTTAAATACATCCGAAGCAAACTCAGCTGATAAATAGTCGCTAAAGGGAGAACCTCTAAATAGCAACGATAACATCACTAGCGACAGCGCATCACGGCGATAAAAGCATCCCCTAATAAAAACAAGTACTAGATTATTGAGCCTTCCCTTATCGGGCTGCTTAGCCGCCCCAAATTGACTCAGCGAGACTTATGGACAAAGTTGTCAGGGCACGAATAAAAGATAATGAAGTATTTGATTAGATAAATGTGGTAAACATTTACGTATATATTAATCTTATATTCGACAGCAATTTATTTGAGGCTCTAGTCAAATTTGGGTTCAGAAAATTCTGGCGTAGTTTCCACAGTGAATTAATTTATCTAAATATACTCGTATTTAACTCAAAGGTGACTGACTGACATAGTGATCTATCAACGCACAGCCCAAACCACTGGACTGCAGGTAGATGTTATGACGTAGGCATTCGCTAAGAAAGGATTTTGATTAATTTTACCCCTAAGTGGATAAAATAGGGGATGAAATTTTGTATGAAACTTTGTCAATTTTAAACCGATCGGGCTGAGACTTTGCATGCATAAAGCTACTATGACGTAGGCATACCCTAAGAGGGGATTTTGATAAAATCCACCCCTAAGGGGATAAATTAACGCGAGCGAAGCCGCGGGCAAAAGCTAGTTTAAAATAAATTACATTAAACAAAAACATACAATTGTGTGACTATAGCCATACTGGATTTTGGTTACTTACTCCAAGATTTTTTCAATTTATTTGGAATGGCAACAAGACGTCGTCTATATACATATGTACACGAACATCATGTTATCATGTGGCACCACTTATGCGTCGCCACTATAGAGGATTTATCATGAGTCTTTAATTTCACTGCCTAATCGCACCATACAACCGAAACAGCTTACAAAGCATGCTACTTCGCAAATAAAATAGATAAAATTTATATAGCCTTTACGCAGCCAATAACTCGTATAAGATGGTATATGAAACCAGAATACATCTGAGACTTCTAAAATTACAACAGTTCAAGTAATAATTATTCATAATACAAATATAGCTAATGGTACAAGTTTCATTCCACCGGAAATTCAAAGGAGTTTAATCTAAACTTAGGTTGTATATTTATGCAATGTGTAATATTATTATTATTTCTGCTATCCTGAATGTTAGTAAGTATTGTTTGTACAGGAATAATAAATTAGAAACCTAATAATGTCTATTAGGAATACAATGACATGATATTCAAGTCTCGGTGTAGGATATCCGATATCCTAAGAGACCATGTAAATACATCAAAGTCGATCCGCGCAAATATTCAATAAATGTTTTGTTGAAGATTTTCCCTTTCAAAATGAAACTCATATAAATTAGATTTTAAACCAATGTTTACTAAACGGTTTGAGCTAATAAAAGTAATATTAAGGGAGCGAGTCTCGTCGAACGCAGGAAATGAAAGCTACGAGAGAATGAAATTGGAAAACTTGTTACAGAATTACTCGAGACGAAAAAAGAAAGTAAACAAGGCGAGGAGAGTTAGAACAAGCGACACTTGTAGACATTTTTCAAATAACATTTCACTTGTTGGATATTTTATAGTTTCATAAAAAGTATGCTTTTAGTATTTGTAGTTAAAATTGCATAAATGATGTCTTACCAGTATTGCTTAAATTACTGAAAATGCTCCAATTTACAGCTGACAACTTATTTTAAAAATGTTTCTTTCTTCAAAAACATTTCATTTCTTCAGATTATTTAAATACTGTATGATAATAACTTTCGCAATAAATAATGTTCATACAAACAAAACGTTACACTTACCTTTTACTCCAGTTTCCGATCTCAGCGTAGCGTCGACCGTTAGTACATCCGCTCCTTCTTATTTCATTTCCTTTAAAGGTCTGAACTGAATTCCCGTTAGGTGTTAATATTCCGTTGGAAGCACTGTTATTGTTTCTCTCCCTATTTCTCGGGAAAGTTCCCGTACCGGATCGAAATGTCGCTAAATGCGGAGTATGGTCGACATCAGGAGCATACTGTTGCAGAGGAAGTGTTACATTTCCACTCCAGCTTTTACGATTTACGGCAAAGGTTTTGAACGTTCCGTTGCCATTGATAGAAGAGGTTACTCCACAGAAGCTGCTGCGGTTGTGACTGTTCTTTATAAACGCACTATTCTGGAGTGCCACTTGAGGCTTGATCGGCACCAATGGGGAAGCCTGGTCAATTGACATCGTACCTTTAATAATGTGGCAATTTGATCTATCTACATTTTTGTCTGCAAAGGAAAGAAATCGCTACGTTAGCTACATGCAGTCTAGATTGTTTTGATACCTCCAACAGAGTTGCTAATCGGACGAAAAGATGGGTATTCGTTAAACGATATATTTCATTGTGTTGCCAAGCAACACTGCAGTATAATAATGAAGTACTACTTGAATGATAGAGTCGAAATTAGGTTAATTGGTATTCGTTCCACGATTTCTATAGTTGCTGCAACTCATCGCGGTAGGCCATTCTATGAAATATTGTTAAATTTTGTACAAGATTTATTATCAGTAAATACTACCGTCACTTGACACCCGATGATTACTAAAGTAGTCAAAGCAAGCATAAAATAGAAATTACAGTCAAGGACATACCACTAAATGAAATGGCCGGACATGACATAAGTGAAGTGTTTACGAGCGGCCACGAGTAATATTTTAAAATTAAATTAATTAATTTTGTTACGTAATAATACTTATAAAAGGTCGCAGTTTCTCAATACTAATGTTAAAATTTAATGTAAACGTGTTTATTTTCTAACAAATTGTTATTGTATTCTTTATGTACATTTAATAAATATATAAAAGAATTTCATGACAGCTTAGTTGGTGTCACTACATCTTCATTCCACAAACATTTCTAGGTATATATATTAAGGGTGTCTTAAGATAATACAACTTCGTTAGTAAGTTTAAGTAAACAAACAAATAGTAGGTACATGTAATTAGATAAATTTTTATTTAATCTTTGCCTACAATGGAAACTATGCTTTAAGCGACCTTGTACTTTATTGCACTCTATTACAGTCGTTAAATGCGTCCTGCTGACCATTGTGCTCGCTGCTATTCATTTTAATAGTGGAAACTCTTCATTGGTTCCTTACCTTGACCTGCTTGGATTTCTCTCGACCGATTCTGATGTAATTTGTTCGCATTTACATTATATTGACAAAATATGTATTTATTAACTCTTAATGTAATAGAGATATATAACATCAAAAAGCTTTACTCACGTTGTTTCAAAAAATATTGTATTTTCTGAGAGCAACAAAGTATATAAAATAATTTAACAACAAGAGGCTATAACCGTCGTATAACCGTAATCTGTAAGACAAGACAATCTTTGGGTAAGAAGACAACAGATGGCAGATGGCGCATGATTGGTATAGAAAATATAATTACATACTTGAATAACAATAATGGATAATAAAATACATATATAGCAAGATAATACAAATATGTAGATTTGTCACACAAATTCATTAAATAAAATTAGATTTATAATCATCATTACATAGTATAAAACAAAGTCGCTGTCGCTGTCTGTCCGTTCCTATCTATGCTTAAATCTTTAAAACTACGCAATGGATTTTGAAGAGGTTTTTTAAATAGATAAAGCGATTCAAGACGAAGGTTTATACATATAATGCATGTACACCCGTGCGCAGTCGGGGCGAGTAGCTAGTATCTAATAAAAGTCGAAAAAAACGTGACATACTGGCCTATTAAATAATGAAAATAAAGGACAAATCTTATTACACAACAACAGACTCTGTTATAATAGAAATTGTTAAAAAAGTATCTGAAAGTGTACCATATATAGACAACATGGTATTAATAGCAAAAGCTACGACCGGTCCACATAAATATGACTCACTAACGCCGGATACAAACAATTTTGTACCTCCATTTGTATTATATAACACTTATGTAAGTACCAATGCTTAGGTTTGTTGCATAAGTCTTTGGTAAAATTGATTGCTAGTAATTGTTGACTTTTGTTCTACTGCTTAGTAACGGTATGGATATTAATTCCTACCTGACACGTTGATTGATCAATAATAAGATGGCTGTCATGCTGTTTTACTGTAAAATTTTCCATTGTTTATGTTTCTTATTTCATACTAGCTATTTCCCGCGACTTCGTCCGCATGGAATTTAACTTTATTTTTCTAAAATAAAAGTAGTCTAAGTTACTAGATATAAATCCTTTAAATTACAAAAATCAGTATTTAATACATTATAATATTTTGAATATTATTAATTTACTAGCTGTTCCCGCGATTTCGTGCGCGTGGAATTTTACTTTATTTTTCTAAAATAAAATTAGCCTAAGTTACTCCTTATTACATCAGCTACCGGCCAAAAAAAGTCCTGTTAAAGTCGGTCCAGCCATTTCAGAGATTAGCCGGAACAAACTGACAGACAGACAAAAATGTAAAAAATATTATTATTTTTTTATAAATACCGTATTTATATTCATATGCATGTAAAAACTGTTATTTCGATATTACAAACAGACACTCCAATTTTATTTATATGTATAGATGTTGGATTACGAATCCTTATAAATTAATATATAAAAGAGAGAGAGTGGACTGTATTTATTGAAAAGAAAATAATTAATGGAAAAGGAAGTAAAAATACGATTTCGACCTGGAAGAACGTCTTCCACACTCCGAACACCCCAAAGTAAGCAATGCAACACCAAACTTACTCACCTTTGCTCAGGAACGTCCCGATGTGTAGTACTGTTTAATGGCCACGCACTCTAGAGTGTATATTTTCATCAAAAACAATTATATTGTGTTAAATAATTCCTTAATTATCTTGTTTTATATAGATAAAAATACGGAGCGTCCTTTTAATTCCAGTTCTTATTTTCAATTGTTTTTTTATTCTTTTTATAAAATTTAAGTGGCCACATGTTTTTATATGTGGCCAGTATTACTGAGCGCCCTTTGCTCCAGTAAGCAAGCCGGTGACACAACCTGCTTAGACTAAGGAGGTTCGGAATACGGAACATACCCCCGGCCGAAACCGTATTGACGGTTTCAAGTTAGTATAAAGGTAAAATAAAATTCATTAACTAAAGAAGTAATGCAAAGGGAACTGTACAATAATAATAAGGAAAAAGAAATGGAAAATTAATTAACATAGGAAAGGGGGCTCAGTTTGTTAACTGGTCTTTTAAAGAGGTTTTGTGTATGGATTGTCACACTTCTAATAATTCCCTCATCTCCAGGACGAAGTAATTCAATATGAGCTAACCAGTTGCAAGGAGACACGTTATCGGTTTTAAGTAATATAATTTCTCGTATTTTAATATTAGCATTAGATTTGAACCGTTTTCCCCGTTGTAAAGTATTTAAATCTTTCCATCTTTTCCTAAATAGTTGCGTACGTTTCTGTATATATTGCCAACGTGACAATCTGTTAATTGGAACATCCTCAACAGTATACTCTGATATAACAACGAAACTTTTATCTCTAAGAAAATAACCCGCCGTTAAAACGTTATAATCGTCTGGATAGATATAATTCGCTGGTAGTGGACATAGCGACGTAGAATTTAATATAGTCTCTATTTTACAATATATTATGAAAAGTTCCTCAAACGTTAAAGATTTCTCTCTTATAGTTCTAACAAGATAGTATTTTTCTGATTTAATACCAGCTTCGGCTAACCCATTCATATGTGCTGCACTAGGCGAATTAAACTTCCAAATTAAAAATCGATTAGAGCAGCTCTCTATGAGTTTATTTTGAGTTTGACGGTTATAGACAAATTTCTGAATTTCATTTAAATGTTTATTACCAGCTAAAAATTTGTTACCACTGTTAGAATAAATAATAGAACATAAGCCTCTATGAGAGACAGAACGATTTATGATAGTCAACAAACATTCCGCTGATAAAAAAGAGAGAGTTTTAAGATATACTGCTTTTGTCGAAAAGCATACAAATAAAGTAACGTTTTCACAGTATGATTTTGCGTTACGACGCAAACTATATTTCTCAAAGAATTCTAGTTTACTTCCAACTATTTTATTAGAGTTAATACCGATAAGATATATCATTTTAAGGACTAGGTTTAATTTTAATAAAATTGTCTTGTCACTGTTCACGAACAATGTAACAGACCATCTACTAATATTTTCGCGAAACCAATCTGGACGCGGTAACCATTTTGCATTATAGTTTAATAATGTAAATAGAATAACACTACTAAAGTCAGTCATGTTGTTTTCACTGTTGACAGATCTCCAACAATGTAGCGGTATAGTTTTTATTATTTGTGTAACACGGTTACAAACAAATAATTTTAATTTATGAATTTGAAGCCACGACAATACGATTGTCGAATCAGTAAAAGCACACACACGAGTAAAATTTATACGATTTAAGTTACTATTTATATTTTTAATTAATTTACATAGCAGTACGGCGTCCATCAAGTGAAGACGAGGAATAGTCAACGGCTTGATTGGTGCCACTTTAGATTTCGCCATCATTAGACTTATTCGTACTTTAACACGCCTTTGATCATCTCGACTAACAGTATAAACACACGCGGTATAACCCCGAGAAGATGCATCGCAAAATCCCTCTAATTCACATTCTACTTGATTAGGTAGTAGCAGATGTCGTTCAATAAGAATGTCAGATAAACACGATAATTCATTATTAACATCTGGACATCGTTTACATATATGTGTATGCATCTGTTCATTCCATCCTATTCTTAACTTCCATAGATTTTTCATCATTTCTTCAGCCATAAATAAATAAGGCGATATAAAACCCACGGGATTATATATCAATGCTAACATTTTTAATACAGGTAGTTTTCTGCTTACATAAGCTTTGATATTTGAGGCAATATTGAACCTGCCTGATATCAGAACTCTACATAGATCTAAAACTGTTACAGTGCATTTATTGCCATTCTTAATAAAATCAATAGGACATTTTCTATGTTCCACGGGAACTAATTCTATTTTCGAAAATTTACGTAAGGTCATGTCTACTGACGTTTCCTCATTAGTTAAGGAAGATAAATGCAAATTCAAAATATTATCAGTATCAGTAGCCCACAATTTGCCACTAACAATAAAACCTAATACTGTTTCAATCACTTGAGGAATATTAGGTTTAATCAATAAAGGTTTATCTTTAATAAGTTCCGACACTATGTCATTACCAAGTAAGATATCTACACGGGAACGTT